CTATTATTAGATAGGATAATACTAGAGGCCCAGTGCACAAAATTTGTGCAGGGGGGGGGGGGAGGGGAGGGTGTCCCTCAGCCTGCCTGAACCTTCTCACAATCCGGGACTCCTCGGGTAGGGTCCCTAGGCCTGGACAGCGATCAGGGCCTATCTGGACTTTCCTTTCCCCCGCTGCCAGCAGCTGGCCCTGCCCCCACCCCTGCCGCTGCCACTGCTTGCCATCTGTGCAGTGCTGCCCCCCATTCCCCGCCACCGGTCGCCTCCCTCTGAGGGCGATAGGCATGGGTGCCATTGCTTGGCTGGCCTGGGGCTCCCTCTGTGGGGCGATTGCTGGCTGGACCCACACACCTGCCATAGCACCACCAGCCAGGTAGCCTGGGGCTCCCTCTTTGGAGCCCCAGGATGGATCGCCCAGCAGAGTGAGTTCCCGCCCACCCACCTGGAGCTCCGCAATTGATCACAGTGCAGAGGGTGACCTGGGCCTCTCTCTGCAGGGTGATCATGGGGCGATGGCAGAGCCCCCAACCAATCTCATCACACCTGCCTTGGCTGGCCTGGCACCAGTGCATGTCTTAGTGTGGTCATCCGGAAGGTTGTCCTGACGGCCATTCTGCTATTTGGTCATTCAGTCGATTTGCATGTTATTATTATTATAGATAATATATATATGTATACAGATCATAATAAACCTATGATATTAAAATTTCATGGGGGTGACAATTATTTAAGAAGTTTCCTTGTGTCCACGGTTTTCTGATTTCTCATTCGTACATGCTGTGAGCTCCTGTGTTAATTACACTAGTGTAAGATGAAAATGTCTGGCTCTGGAGATCAGTCATTACTCTTGACGTGCTCATGGCAACCGAAGTCCCAGATTTTCTGTATAAAATATTGCTCTTGTTGCTTAACCGTGTGTCATCTATCAAATCTTCTTCTGTCTAATGCTGAGAATTGTCTTAAAACCAAATTAATATCTTCAACCCCCTCCCCCAAAGAACTAAAGAAAAGATGAAGAACATTTGCCTGTATATGATCCCATCTCAAGTTTTCCTTCCACTCACTCCTACCCCTGAAATTCAATCTTTCACATGAAGGATGAAATAGGTGATTTTCCTCAGTTCACTCTCGCTACCTCCCTTAGCCCTCCCCCGCCCCTCACCAGCTCCCACCATCACCCTCTACCCTACACACAGGAAGACTTGCAGGGCTGACGAGTCCCAAGTTCTACGGGAGATGATATTATCATCTGAACCCACAGCCTCTCATTTCTCAGTTCCTTCTCCATAACATAATGTTCCTTGTCAGTGCTTTTCCTGTCTTAATTGGCGTATTCTACCCATTTCAAAACTGAAAAGGATCTGACTTTAATTTTCAACTGACCTTCATACAGAGTACACTTTCCCAGAAAAAAAATATAAAAGTCCTTTATGTAAAATAAAAAGCTTTGGTTCCTAGTAAAGAAACTTCAGAGAAAGGTGGAGATGATACCTGCTCCAGTTCTTGGGGTCGGGGGAAAGGTAGGAAACAGACCAAGAGGCAGGTAGTCAGCCTTTGTCCTCTGATCCTCAGATGCTCAGATCCCTTCCTTCCTCACTCAGGAAGGTAACCCTCAGTTACAGCTGCACCCCTCGTCCTCCGTTAGGATGGAAATGGCTGGCACAGCAGTGGCACGGTGGTGCTGCTGCCATGGCCCTGGGGCTGGGAGTACATGCTGCCTGGATGTAGGGGCCATATGACCCACCTGCCCTCCCCACCGACCTCACAACTGTCCCAACACTCCCAACGCTGGGGACCCAGGCTCCTCATTTCAGCAGCACCACTCTGCCCTGGGTTTCCTTCTTCCTTCAGCATCAACTGAGATGCTGTCAGCTGCTACTTACCCGTCCCCCGAGCGAGCGATTCACCTGAGAAAGGGGGATGCTTGCCTGGACCCTCAGTCCTATAACAGTGTGATCAGCATCTATACATCCACAATCCAAAGCATCCTTATTTAGGGCATAAGAAATGATTTCTTTCGCTTCCAGTTTTCAATTAAGCATCTTCAGGTTTTGAATCAAATATTGGCCTTCATAATCTATTCATTTCTATTTCCAGGGGAATTCAACTGTTCTGATCTGCTCTTTACAAAGTTGATTTTGAATAGAGAAAATTTAAATGAAAAGAAGAAACTACCTTTTTCCATGTAATAATCAGAGATATCTTACAGCAGACCCATCTTATCTAATGGCACTGAAGTATGAGGAAAGCAAAAAGGAATTTAAAAAATCTCTCCAAAAACAGCTTTTCCAGTTTCATTTTACTCAGTTATATGCTTTAAATAAAATTATTCCGGGGTGTAAAATATTAAGCAACATATAAAAAGCTATTTGGAGCAAGAAAATAAGACCAAGCTGAGATCTCCAATTTGCATGTGGAATGATGCAATTATTTCTATGGCCTACTTTCATACATTTTTAATATGATATAAAATAAACTCTCCTGTCACAACTTCCCATTCTTCCTACAATCTTGAAGCAGGGCTGCTGGGCTCCCAGCAAAAGAGCTCTAATCAACTGGCTGAGCAATGTATTTCCTAATCCTCAAGCCTCCAAGTTTAAATCACCACGTAGTCAGCTTCCCTCCTTAGTCTCCTTACCTCAGCAACCACTGATGTAACAAATACAGGGTGTCCCCAAAAATGCATGCACACTTTAACCGCTGATAGCTGTTCAATGAAAAGGAAATATGTTTAAATAAACACTGCCTTTATCATTGTATTCAAAGTGAGTATACATTTTGGGGGACACCCTGTATATACTGAGTGCTTGCTCTTATCAAGTTCCACTGATACTCTTCATTTAACCCACAGAAGAAGGTTTCTATTATCCTGAAACTCTTCTTTGAAACATTTGTGTGTGTTTTTAAATCCATGATGACTATAATTCAGAATTCTTGTTTTGGTGAAGTTTTACAAGCGGTGGTCATCCTCCAGGCATCAGCACCTGTGGGTAGGCCTCCACATCACCCAAATGTCTGTCCCTAACGCTTACCATCTAGGATTCTGGTGCGCAGCTGTCACTCATGGGCCTGAACGTAAATCTTAGCAGTGATGTAACCTATTGGTGAGGAACAAGCTTATGACACTTGTTGGGGTCCCCAGAGCTTCTGTGAAGGACCTCGGGGGTCTTGCCTGAGGACCTAACTGCATGGCTTCCACAAAGAGTCTATGGACAGGGTGCTCCAAACAAAAATAACTCTCTCCTGCCTTTTCTGGGCATATACCATTTGTAAGTTCAGGACTGTTTAATGAGTACTGGTGTACTTGGTGAAATAGTTTCATTGCTTTATGTTCACCCTTTTACAAAAAGCTCTCTAAATCAATTTGTACATTTAGGTCATTTTCAGCCTGAGTAACTGAATATCAATATTTCCCACAGTTTTGACAAAATCTGTGGTTTTATACAAAGTTCCTTTTCTTTCTTTTTTAATGGAAAAAGATGCCCAGATTTACCATGGGTGCAAAACATCCAAGTCCAATCGTGGCCATTTGCCTTGGGCCACTCATCATACTGTGCCTAAAATGTCTCACAACATCACTGTTCTTCCTCTTCGCTAGGTGCACTCTTAATATTTTTCTCTCTCTTTACAATAAGGATGCCCTAATTCTCGCTGGACATCATTGACTTCACCAAGAGGATCATCATTATGCTGAAAACTGAAGTTGCCAACTCACTCCCTGCAGAATGAGAAAGTGGCCCCGACCAATTCGGGTGAACTGCAAGGACCCATAATTACATCACAGACAGAGAGTCTGGACGATGGCAGGAGGCAAAGCAGAGCACCTGCCACACACGGCACCCATTCATAACTACGTGTCACTGGAAAGACCTCGGCCGCCGGCAGAAGTGCTTTTGTTCTCTTCTGCTGTAAAATGTACTCACCCTAAAGAGTAGAGACGGCACTGCTTGTTGCGGATTTGATGAGCTAAGCCAAACCTGTCATCGAGACAAACCGACCAGGGCTGCTTAGCAGAGCTGGAGTCTGTAGCCAGGCTGTCTGCACTCACGTGATCACATGCAATCTGTAGGGATTGGAAATCAATGTGAATAATTTAAAGCGTTGGATGATAAATGGCAGGTAGGCACTTACTGCTTCCCTGGTCCCTGAAAACCAGGGCGGGAGAGTTCTGTCCTTCTCCACTGCTACCTATGCCCTTCCCTGGGGAAACACAGGCTGCTGTAACATGTTCAGAGGAATTCCTAGTACCAGGTTATGAATAACCTCGTGGAGACTATAGGCAGGTTTGAAGGGACGTTACGAGCTGCTATAGCCGTATGCACAGAGCACACAGGGGAGAGCAAGTCAGGAACAATGACGGCAGGGAGGAGGGGTAAGGAAAGGCTTCACAGAGTTGTGTCAGCCTTGGAGGATGAGCAGAAGCTGAGACCACGAGGACATTCCGGACATGGAGAACAGGGCTCCGAAAACACAGAGTCAGTAACCCACAGTGTTCCTACTAGAAGTCGTGAGATACGCCCACAGGCCTGGGTCTCAGGAGGATACAAGATTATTGATTCCTTATCTCAGGCAGATAAGGTGGGGCCACCAGGGTCCAGATAGGTAGCATGTGTTACCGAGGCTAACAGCTGATCAGGGGTCATGGAAAATTAATCCTAGTCCACGCTAAGAGGACAGTTTGCTTTGTAACACACTCTTCTCATGAGCTTCCTCCTGGGGGAGAAGAGCAAGGGCCCCATCCAGGAAGGAGGTTCTCCCTGAGCTACCCAAAGCACTTCTCTTAACCCACCTGCCAATATTAGAGAAGAAAACCAAAGGGAACTGGCATCTAAATCAAGCAGAAGCAAGTCTCTAATTTCAAATGCACATGAAGTAGTAAGTATCTTTCTAAGGACCTGTGTTTGAGGCTGACACAGTGTGCACGGCAGAGGCTGCTGGAACCAAAGAAAACAAGACTGGCCAAGGTGTTCACCTTGCTGAGCAAGAGCACTTCTCTTTAATCCCTCAAACTCTCATAGTCATCGCGATGTCCCGAGAATCTCAGGCTCTCACTGCCGCATCACAGACAGCAGACCACTCCAGATACAAAAGGTGTTCTGAGGTTCAGTGCTTTGAGTCATTGGAAAACAACACAGCAAACAATTTTCCTCTTAAGGAGATATTCTAGGCTTTCCAACCCTTTAATTTAACCATTGTTTGCAAAATTTTAATCTGAGAGGAGTTTATAATGTGGCACCTATTCAACTAATACAGCGTCTCCCTTACTGCTGTAGTCTAGGGCTGGCCTGGTAAAATCACCCTAGCACTATCAGTGACTATGACAGAGTCTTCTGCTAGGATTTGGATATTAGAGGGAAGCTTACCAAGTGAAACCATACTAGAGGCCCGGTGCACAAAATTCATGCATGGGTTGGGTCCAGTGCACAGTTGAGGGGTCCCTTAGCCCGACCTGCAATGACGCCAACCTCCCTCGACCCCCAGCCTATGGCCCAAGGCCCCTCCCCTCCCTCTGCACAGCCAGGGCACAGACATTGGGCTCATGTCACCAGGGGCAAGGTGAGCCCAGCATCCTGCACCCAGGCCTCTGGCCAGAAGCCCCTCCCCTCCCTCTGCATGGCCAGGGCACGGATGCTGGGCTTGTGTTGCTGGATGACGCCATCAGCACGCCCCCCCAGCCAATATTTCTCTCTCTCTCTCTCTCTCTATATATATATATATATATATATATGCCTAATATGCAAATTGTCCCCTCAGGAGTTTGACGGGGAGACCAGGAGTTATGCTCTATGATATGCACTGACAGGGGCAGTGAGGAATGAAGGAAGTCCCTGTCCAGCAGCTGGCAGCTGGGGAAGGGAGGCCCTGGCTGGAAGCCAGAAGGAAGGTCCCGGCTGGCAACTGGAAGGCCCCAATCGGCCCTGATCACCAGCCAGGCCTAGGGACCCTACCTGTGCATGAATTTTGTGCACCGGGCCTCTAGTATATTTATATTATTTTCCCTCAACCCAGTATCTCCGTCTACAACCACTGTTTAAAGGGGGAAAAATAATAAATGGAATTGAATTTTCTCCCAAGCAACTAGGATACATTTATTAACTGAGTGTGGCAACATATTACTTTGTGTAATTTATTCCTATTATTCTCTCACAGATAAATGGAAACTATGCCTCTGCCTGCCCACCTGCTAGTCTCCACCCACCCACTAATGGAGAAGCTGCTAAGCTTCTGGGCCTGTTTTTACTAGTGGGCAACTTACTGTGCCTTAAACATCAGCACCTCCACAGGCACTCTGTCCATACCCTGCCTCCTGCTGCAGTTAGTTAGGCCAGGGCAGTTGTGAGGGGCCCCAAGGCACACCTGGTCCTCAGAGCTGAGCCACTGGCTCCAGGGCGGCTTCCTGGGGGATGTTTATTAAAGTGCCACGGAGATGCCCATCTGCAGCTGTCCTTGTGTGGACCCCTCCCTGCAAACTGCCATCATAGCAAATTAGGATAGGGATGCTCATCGTTCTTACTCATAATTCCCTCCTAACAGCATTAGAGCCTACATCTGGCCTTCCCCACAGTGTTCCTCAAGGTGTGGTCCCCCTACATTCTGATGGACCTGGGAGGTACTTCAAAATGCAGATTCCTGGGTGCCACTCCAGATCTGTCAAATCAGCATCTTTGAGGCTGACGCATGCATCTTCACAAGTTCGCCAGGCGATTCTTATGCCAGTGGTCTACTGCACCCTTTGTAACGCCCCGTTGAAATGTTCAGCCGGCCTCCCCTGTGCTTTAGCAAATTAAGAGAAGAGGCTACTCTTAGGCCAGAGCTTTCACCTGAAAACAGCAGCCCCTCCCACCCCACCCCTAACAAAGCCAGAGAGGCAGGACCGGCAATCAGCCAGAGGCCTCTAAGAGTCGGGTAAGTATTGAGGGTCAAGATTCAGGGCTTTGGGGTTCAGCTGCTCCTCCTTTGCCAACATTGGAAGTAGAGTTTTATTCTATTAAAAAGGACACTTTAAGCATTTCTTCTTCTTCCACAGACTTCTTCTTGCACAGATAGATCCCTATTGGAAAGGCATTCTTTTCCATTCAATCTCTTTGCTAATGTTCCCCTTTTCTCTCCTAGTTCAAAAATAAAACACAGCTCTTCTATTTTAACCATTTAATAACCATCTCATTGATAGACTTTAGCTTTTGAAAACAACTAAAGTAAAATTCAGCTCCTAAAAATTAATTAAATATTGATTTTTCAAACTTCCTTGTTAAGATTTATGGCCAGGGCTTCCATAAACCCTCTTGCAAGCAAATAAGTGAGGGCAGTAACTCCTAGCTAAACTTCAACTCCAGTAATTATGTGTTCGTTCTCTCTCTCTCTCTCTCTCTCTCCCTCTTTCTCTCTCTCTCTCTGCGCCCCCCTCCTCTTTTAATTCCCCTTATAATTTTTGCCATATAAAAGCAAATTAGGTATAGATAAAGAAAAACAGACTCCAGGGAGAAAAATGTTTTCTAAAATGCTTTTTAGTTATTTAACTTAAAGGAATATAGTTTATTTTTATTTTCTGTTGTACTGAAGAAGCTTGAATAGCCTTTCTGCCAATCCACAAGTGGAACCTGGTGAAGGGAGCCCTTAAAATTTGTGGACTTTTGGCAAGAATCACTTCACTGACCAACTGTGTGTTTATGTAATACCACTATTTGGAAAGGTCAAATCTCAAGGAAAGGGTTGTGCTTTTCTTGCTTTTATCCCAATTTGTGTGTGTGTGTGTGTGTGTGTGTGCATGTGTGTGTGTAATCGTAAGCATAAAAGCATATTGTTAGGAAGTTCTAAAGTCTCTCTCCAGAATCTAGGTTCTAATGTTATTCTCAAAAAAATAGGTAGAAGGGTAGATGATTAGATAGATAGATAGATAGATAGATAGATGGATGGATAGAGAAGAGTTTAAAACGCATTTTATTTTTTTTAACCAGCAACTGTTGCTTAGATTAATTCTGTGCTGCACAGCATGCTTCCTGGAGGCATATGGTTTGGGGGTTGCCATCAAAAGCTAGATCTGGAGCCTTCCCTTAGCACCGAGCTCTGTGTTTGTGATTTAACCATTAGTGTATCATCAACTGCAAAACTCAGAGATGTAGCCGTGGTCTTTCGCATTAGAAAACAACACCTGATGAGCTGGAGCTTGATGTCCCCTACACTCTACCCACACACCACACCCTCAGGTGCTGCATTCAGAATGCAGGGCCCCAGTCATGCCACCAGAGTCGCCAAAATGCAAGAGCAGGAGCGTCATCTCCTCAGAGTTCGGCGCCACCCTGTGCCACACACAGGGCTCCTGTTCCTCAGCTCCCTTAGCCTGGGGAAGCGTCACCCACCGTTTACCCTGCTGGAGAACACACAGCTCTCCTGCACCCTGCCTGCTTACCAGAGTGAGCGGGCATCTAATTCAGGTTCGGCATCCCAGCCTGTGTCCAGCTCAGTGCCAGCCACAAAGCAGGAGCTCAACAACCGTCCGCTGAATTGAGAAAAGAATAAATCCATGATGAACACATCAAATGCTGGGCCTTGCTGTACAAGTTTGAACACAGATTTGAGGAAAGTAATTTTTTTTTATTTTAAACAGCATCAGAGAGGACGGGGGTGGAATTTGCTTTAGTACCTTCAGAGGTTTAATTTCTTTTCCTTGCCCATGATGACTCACTTCTGCTAACTGGAAACTTTAGGTACGAGTGACTCTAATATTCTGCCAGTTTTATAAATTTTCATTTTCAAAATGAATCCTAAATGAAGCATAGCCCCCAAAGCACCCAAAAAGCTCTGCATTGCATAGAAAGGGGGAGAGCGCCCTGGATAGCAAAAGACTCTATTTAAGCACGAATTAGTGTCATCTCTGATGAGCTCCCACCTGCTGGGCTCCGAATGACCTGGAAGTACATAAAAGCACAGGATTTCATCTGGGTAAAGTGACTCCTGATCACAAAACCATTCTGAGGTCTGGAACTTTATCTAATTCTTTCTGGAGGACAAAAATCCTCCTGATGAGCTTCACCAACCAGAATTCTATTATTGTGCTCACCACGCTGAATAAGCATTGTACATCCATTTCTCTGCCTTTCCAACTAGTTAGTTAGCCTCCTGAGGCTCATGTTATATCCCCAGGGCCTAGCACAGTTCCTAGCACATAGTAGGTGCTCAAAAAAAAAAAAAACCCAAAAACCCACATACAATCCTACTCTACTCTCAGCACAGTACAAGGTCACAGGACTGAGAGGGACCTTAGAAACAATTTAGTACTCTTCCTTTTCAGGATCAGAACAGTGAGAGACACAGAGAAGCAAAATAAATTGCCCAGGGTCACAACATCAGAGCACACAGTAGCATGCTTTTATTTTATTCTTTTAGAATTTTTCTCCTCTCAGCCCGTAAGTCATGGGAAAGATCCAAGAGAGGCTTGAGATGACCCTTTCATGCCTCAAGGGCCTCTTGTAAGTAAATACGTCTTTTAGAAGTTACAGAACATTGACCTGCAGTACGTACGAAATGAAAAATTCACTTGGTCCATTTTTTGGGGGTGGAGCCCATCGTTCTCAAATTCAACTCATAAGTTTCACATCTCTCCTTTTTCTCGGGGGCCTTTAAGGGCTTCTTAAAAGTCACGGTAAAGAAGTCCAGCTTCTTATTCTTCACGTAAAACCAAACCATAAAATTACAATTTCAGTATTTTAATTAAGTCTGTGTGAGGCCACCAAATTCATCTGTGGCAGCAGAATAAGATAAAAACTATGTAAAGCACAGGGACCAATTTATCATCCCCTTCCTCATGATTAATTCAGCACGCTTTTACTTCCATGTCTAGGTGACAAATATTAAAATCCCTGATTGACTGCACCCTATGAGAAATGAGACTTTCTTCTACCTCTAAATTAGCCTTTTACGGAGCTAGGAATACATTCTTTCCTGTGGATGAAAAATGGGCTTTGCTGCCATGAGGTCTGGGAGGAGGAGTGGAATGCCAAGAGCCAATGGGTTGAAGGGACATCAGAGAACAGGGGTCCCCAGTGCCACCCCAGCAGCCAGTGAGGCTCGCTGAGTGGGCCTGCGCCTCACAGACAGCCTGAGTTGTTAATTTACTAGCACCTCTCAATTCAGGGCGACGTTTCCCCTCCGGCCTCCATTTCCTCTTCTGCCTCTCTCCCCAGGATCAGGCTACTTGAGAATGGAACCTCCTGATTAATGTGTCAAGAATCACAGACTCTCCTTAATGGACGATCTCTCTGCCTGCTCGGGGCACTGACTCAGCCTGCCGAGCTGGGCGGGAGCTGCCACAACGTGTTAAGTCACGAACACAGGCCAGTGCTCGGTAATGATTCAAAGGGCCCCAGAGAACAGAAAGTCTCTGGATTCATAAGCTTCTCCTTGGACTGCCTGTGGGAGTCGCCTCTGCTCTCTGGCCTGGCACATCCCTGTCTGCCCAGCATCTGTGGCAAAAAAGCAAGCAGGCGGATTCCCCCAGATAGAAAACGAAGCTTGAACCTCCTCCGGATGAGGGTTTTGTCTTGTGACAGATTCGACTGCCTACTCACGGGCGCACATCTGTCTCTTCAAGTGGTTTTCCAAAGCCATTTTCTAAAGTGGATCCTTACAACACATCAGGATGAATCATGAAAACGTGTCAGGATGGCAATGCTCCTGGAAGGGAGAGGATGCTGACGGGCACAGAGGCACCCTTATCTGCCTCTAAGAGAGTGGATACACGCAAGCAGCGACGCCCCAGAAACCATGTCCCTCTCAAGTCCCCATCAGGAGTCGTTGGAAACCTCCCCACTCCTCACTGACAAATCCTCTTCAAAAGGGGCAACCAGTATCTTTTGCATCATCTCCAAACCCCCTTCTGCATGAAACACAACCTGGATGGTGCTGATATATCTCAGGAACCTCGAGGCTTCTTCATCCAGGGACTGAGCAGGGCCTGCCCAAGGCTGCAGGTCTATGTGCCATCTGGAACCCTGCGAGAGAGAAAACAGGTTGGTGTGTAAGGAGGAGTTTGGGGGTGGGGCGGGAAAGAATTGGAGTATGAGAAGAGGCAACAAGGCTGCTCAACCTTCAAGTAAAACCAGCGGCCTGCAGAGCAAGCCCGCCTGCACACAGGAGGCAGGGAGCTGGTTGAGAGCTGCTGTCAGTGAGACCACATCAGTCCCAGGGAGACAAATGAGGCCTGAGAAAGCCTAGCTAGCAGGCTGAGCAGAGATTGCAAAGACGTCCCCCTGGGACGCTGACTCTTCTGATCAAAGCCAACTCCACTTGACCCCATTGGGCTCTCTCAGCGGCAGCTTTGCATTACCCAGGCTGATCCCATTCAGAAGAAACACTCCCCTGGTTTCCAAAGCTTAGTGCTTCCAAGATACGTGCCTCCTTATGGGCAAGTTTTGTTGTCTCAGCACCATAATGCCTGAAATCTTGCGTTTTGGCACCTTCCCCTGCACAGGGAGACAGAGGGGGGCAGCAGGGAGGCTCGGTGGCGTCACCCAGTGTTCCAGACCTCCTGGACATGTGGGCGAGGAGGGGTCACCAGCAGGGCTGGAAGGGTTGCCTTCTAACACTGTGAGGCAGCCCCCACCTTTTAGCAGAGAACAGGTGGAGCTCCTGGAGCAGAGTGGCTAGAAATGAACCCTAAGATCCCTTTTGTAGCATGGTGGGGTGGATGAAGGGCTGGGGGAAGGCAATGGTCTAGAAGAAACAAAAATGGGGACCCCTCCAGTCAACAGGAAGCGATAGTCACGAGTCCTTGCTAGAGTTGCAAGTTCACCTCCTATGGTTCTTAACACCTGGAAACTCCCTGGAGGCTCACTTCCAAGGGGTGAGTACGGTGTGCGGGAAAGGGTGGGGGGCTGGAGAGGCTCAGCTGTTGGCAGGGTGCATGTCTAGTGCCAGGAAAGACCTTGGGTGTCTTGGCACAGAGGGCAGAGCACTTGGGATGGTCCCCTCAAATCCCTTTTATGGTGAGGAAGGAGACAGGGAGGGTTCTGGGGACAAGATAAAGAGACCATCCATGTATATGCACTGTTCTCCAGTTAGGTACTGTTATGGTCTGAATGTTTGTGCCTTCCCCACCCCCAATTCATCAGTTGAAATCCTAATGCTCGATGCGATGGGGCCTGTGGGATGTGGTTAGGTCATGAGGGTGGGGCCCACATGAATGGGATTAGTGCTCTTATAAAAGAGGCCCTATAGAGCTCCCAGCCGCTTCCACCATGTGAGAACACAGCCAGAAGTAGGCAGTACAGCCTTGAACTGAACCATGGTGGCACCCTGGTCTTGGGCTGCCAGCCTCCAGAACTGTGAGCAATACATTTCTGTTGTACATAAAACCACCCAGGCTGTGGCATTTTGTTATGGCAGCCTGAATAGGCTAAACAGGTATTATGGCAGGAACTGCCTATCATCCAAAACAGAAACATCTAAACAGGTTAGGCCTGAGATGCTTTAGTGCAGATGTGGTTTGTTGCTCCTAGCCATCTAGGTTGGGGTTAAACTAAAAGCAAGAAATGGGGGAGCAAGCAGGTTAGTCAGGGTGAAGGCAGGTGTGTGGGCTTGGGGAAGAGGAGTACACTCTGGAATGAGGATCTGAGATAAATGCAAATTCTTTGTAAGTGATAAAGGCTTGTTCCAGGTTAGGCATTGCTGACTCATTGCATGGAGTCCCTGGGGTCCACAGTGTTACTGTCCAGACAGGTCTGCTCTGCCTCATAGTGGCTGAGCACCCTGCAGTCCTTAAAGGGCCTTCACCGATTTCCACTGGCTGACTCTTTCTCAGGAATCCTTAAGGCAAAGCCGGTGTCGTGGGCATGCAACCTGCCTACTCTTAGAGGCTCATGCTTGGCTTCAAGCGCTGCTGACACCCTCTTGAAATTCTTAATTTTTGAACAAGGGGCCTGCATTTTCATTTTGCACTAGGCCCTGCAAACTATGTACTCATTTTGCCCTGAGGGGCACCTTTTCTTGAAAAACAGCATTTTCTTATAGCTGTGCTTGTTCAGAGAGAGTCTGAGAACATAAGCTCATATATCTTCCTAGTTAATGTCTTCTATCCCACCTATTTTTTTTCCTTATGAATTTATTTTTATTGGGATATAGGGGATGGGCCAGGAAATTCCACCCCCAACCCCCATGTCTCCTTTTCCTTTTTCTGAATTAGATGTTGATTATCATTTGGTCAAAGCACGTCAGTCACTGGCCAACACCGATGTGAATAAAATCTCAACTCCCCCCAGGAGATGCTCACAGTCTGGTGGGGGAGGTGAATATGTACAAAATGACTGATACGGGAATGCTGAAACGCTTGGGAGAGCTATTCTTTGCAGGAAATTATTTAATTATGAAATCATAAATGATAAGCATTTTTAAATACAAATGCCTCCTAGTTTTGCTTGGTCGCATTCTTTTTGCATAAAATGACAGAGTGACTTCCCAGGTTGCCACTGCTGTCCGCACAGCAGCCCAACGCCCTGGGGCCAGCCTGGTGAGGCCTGGGGTTTAAAGATTCCCACGGCATTGTTGTGGGCCTGCTCCCAAGTGCCCCTTGGCCCCGGAGCCTCTTGATGAACATGATAAAGTTCACCCATTATGGTTTTCCTCTAAATCAGGGTTTAGACTTTTGCAGGCCGTACAGTTTCTGTTGCAACTCCTCATCTCTGGTTGTAGCTCAAAAGCAGCCTTAGTAAGTCAACAAGTGCTCATGGCTGTTTCCAAAAAACTCCTGCCCGTTTACAGAAACGGGCAGCAGGCTGGACTTGACTCACAAGGCTGTCGTTTTCCGACCCCTGCTCTATTTGATTATAATTTGGAGGCAGAGTGGTCTAGAAGAGAGTGTTTCCTTTTGGGAATAAGGCAAAAGAGACAGATTAATTGAGACGAACTTAATAGGCTCTTTACAAAGGTGCAGGCAGGATTTAAGGACACCAAGAAGGAACAATGCAATAATATTTGTGGCAGGTAGCAACAGAGAGCCCTTATAAACCGTAAGAGCAAGGAGGGGGAGGAATTTTGGGAACCCAGAGAGGGAAACTATATGGAGAAGGCACTTAATAGAGGAAAATAGAGGAACATAGCCAATCCTATCACATCTAATCCTATTACATACCCACCCCAACTGTCAAACCCAACAGGAAGGCAGAGAAGAGGAAGGCTGGAGTTGGTCTACACAGGTCAGTCTCCAGTGTGCAGAACAGGAAGAGCGGGGTAACAGAGTGGACCTTGAGGGGTCATTGGAAGTTCTCCTGCACAGCATCCTATGGTGAACCAATATGGTGAACCTATGGCGTTGCCGCGAGGATTCACAAATAGTATCCTTCTTGCAATCTGATATTTCTCATTTCCAACTGAGTGTTGGCCACGACACTGTAGCTGGAACAGTGAATAACTTAAGTTGGAAGACCTCAGCTGGGAATATAATGGAAACACACAGCAAAGAGATGCCCTCGGAAGTTTCTGCCTTACTGCTTTGGTTGAGCTGTTTAAAAAACATTTCACATGATGTTCTTATTGGAATCAGTCTGACAGTAATTTGTGATTATTTCCCCCAAGGAAACCACTAGCTTTTATCATCTCTTTCAATTATCATTTGTCTTAATTCTTAGCACACACATCAATATTTGTCCTTCAAAAAAATCCCACAAACAAAATTTTCTGAGCATCTTAAAACATCAATGACCCGTGTTTAATAGAACAAGAAAAAAAAATACTTTTCTTTTAAAAACTTTATCTTTATGATTTTGTTAGAGTAGGCAGCTTGACAGGCATGAACAGAACAGGAAAAATAGGCCAGGTACAGAATATCACCAGGGCAGAAAATCTCAGGTGCCTAGGAATGGACAAAACTGTAAAAACAAGTATTAATAGTCTAGGACCTTAATCACAGGATATAACCTTTCCTCCCCTAGCATGTCGCTGGTCATGTGGCTTAGACCCCCTTACCCTTCATATCACTAGTCATTCTGTTTAGACCCCTTTACAGGAGAAACAAGGGGGCTAGAGATTACCCTCATAAGACTCCCATATAAAACCTTGCACAACCACTTCCTCCAGCATTAAACCCTCAGGACAATGAGGTTCTGGTCAGCATCAAATAATCTTAGGAACAAAGCCTTGGGTCTACTGACCACAAGAGACAGAGTTTTGGTCAAACTAGAGATAACATCTAGACTTCAGTTGTGTTTCAGCTCCAGGCCTAGAAAAAGCAGCAAAATCAGATAAAGGGATGCCATGGCTGATATCAAAACCAGATGTAATGACTAATGACCTCCTCCCCTAGCACCAACCAATCAGTAAAGACCACGACTGTGAAGAGTCACACAGGGAAATCTGATGAATATTCAATTGAGATCCTCCCCTGAGATCTCCCCTAAAATCCCCACCTTTGGAAGATTAAAATTCTTAAGCTAAAGGACCCCAATACGCTCGCTCTCTCTCTCTCTTCTCTCTCTTTCTCTCTCCCACCCTCTCTCTCTCTCATGCCCACACTTCTTTCCTTCTTCAGGGGAGCGCTATGGAGCACACCCCCACCTTTCCCCCTCTTCTTCCCTCAGGGGCCATATCTTTGCTTTCTTCTTCCTAAGCTCCAAGGGCCCTTCTTTTGCTCTGTAACTTGTTTCCTGAGTCCATGTAGCCCCCCTGGCTCACTTCTACTACCTCTGTGACTTCCTACATACATTTCTTATGTTTGAATTCTTGGCTTTGAATTCTTTCTTAGCCACACTCAAGAAATGAGGTCCAACACTCGAACTCCGTTGTTAACAACTTTATCCCAAATAATTTTCTAAACACAGGTACACTATTGTCCATGTGCTCCAAACACCAGATGGCCAGGGCAATGCTACCCCCATCACTCGTGGAAGGCAGGGGATTTGCAGTCCTGTCTGTGCCTCTACTTCTTCTTCAGATGGTAAAGGGGCAGCTTAAGCAGAAGGTGGCTAAAGGCACTGTAATTTGGGGCTGGTCTGTCTGTCCCCAGCAGGCCTGAGTTCAAATGTCAAATGCAGCATATACAATGAGTTACCACCCAGAAGCCGCCATGTTCGTGAGCCCCTGCACAGATGGACTCATTTCCAGTCCCTGATCCTGCCCCCTATTCCACTCATACAGGGAGCCACTCTCCCAGCATGAACCAGCATCTCAAGGAAGACTGGGCCCCAGATTTCTGAGGAAAGGGACACCCCCCCACCCATCTTTTGTTTGTGAAGACTTTATTTGGCACTTTCTCCAGGAAATATGCATTGAAAAGTGAGCTGGCTTCTTCTAATGAGAGGCAAATGTTTTGATTACATAGGAAATTTTCCAAAAATTAAGGACAGCAAAAGATTCTACTAATTTGTGTTGTATGGGGCTATTGTACAGACATCTGAGATTCTGTTTCCCAAAGGGTAAAAAGTGATCACTGAGTCAGTTTAAGCCAGTTCATAGAGATAATGGACTTGGCTCAAAAAGAACGCAAGAAGTAGAACCATGAGGCTTTCAGATATTTTTGTAATTTATGATATCAGCATTAAATGTGTTTCTCAAAAAAAAGAAAATTATTTCAAATGAAAGAAAATGAATTCTAAGAATTTACTACTAAAAGATAACGTGAAAAATAAAGCAATCTTTTAAAATATTCTTTTGACTCCCAGCCTACATTTATGCACATAATCCTATATAATAAAAACCTAATGTGCTAAGAGTCTGACCATTTGACCGTTCGACCAGTCACTCTGATGCTCACTGACCACCAGGGGACAGATGCTCCTACTGGTAGGTAGGCTTGCTGCTGGGGTTGGGCCAATTGGGACTGGGTGAGATGGGCAGGATACGCCCTGGAGCCCTCCCATGGTTCCTTTCCGGCCCTGATCATGCACAGATTCGTGCACCAGTGGGGTCCCTCAGCCTGGCCTGCAAGGATCAGGCCAAAACCGGCTCTCTAACATCCCCCGAGGGTCCTGGATTGCGAGAGGGCACAGGCCTCTAGTAGAAATATATTAATTCAAGACCAAAAACCCTAAACAAAACTGGTTGCATTAAAAAATTATAGAAAAAAAAGCAGACCCACCCATGAACTAGAAAAGAGAGCCATCGATACTGCCTTCTGCAAAAGATTGCTTTGTCTTGAAATTTGGAATAACAGATTTCTTCTTCACAGGCCATTTCCTGCACACCCTTGAATGACCTCACATAGCCCACGCAGAAACTGTCAAACTAAGAACAGTATGACCACCAGTTATACAAGCAAGTTTTACACGAGCATCTTTTTTCTTTTTTTGTAAAAACAA